GTCTTTTCCGACGTTTCATCTCTCTCAGCCCCTCGGTAAACCAAGGAGATGGTCGAGATCCACGTCGGGTCAGAGGCCGCAAAGGCACGACTCGGTCCAATGCTGCGGCGGCAGTTGTCTCCCAGGCCGCCGCCTGATTTTCTGCCGAGTCGTGGACTAGATCCTCCGGATATGGCCCAAGCTCCATCAGGAACCTCTCGGGGTCCATCAGTCGCCTGGGACGGAACCATCTAGGAGGCTCCGTCTCCCTGCGGCGAGGGGGAGCGGTCCGGAAGACCAACCTTAGGAGAGAATGGTCTGACCATGACAAGGGCTCCACCACTATCTCCCCTATTGTCAGATCACTCTGCCACTGGCCAGAGACAAAAACTAGATCCAGTGTGTGTCCGCCCGTGTGAGTGGGGGTCTGAATTAACTGGGACAAGTCCAAGGCCGTCATGGAAGCCAAGAACTCCTGAGCTGCCGCCGACGTCTCGCCCGCTGATGGGAGGTTGAAATACAACTTCTTGGCGGGCTTTTCACGAAATGCCCAGCCTGCAGTCCTGGGAGCAGCTGATGACCATGGTTCCCATGGGAGAAAGTATGTTTTGTCTAGCGAAGCATCTGATAAACCCCTCTCCCTCCGTGCTATGTGTCAACCGAAAATGAGTAGGGAAAATGGCTGCAGCCACACTCATTTTCAAAGTTGACACATGTATGAGCACCCAAAACATAAAGTTAAATTATATGTATATATACAAAGTTAAAACTTCAAAGTACACATATATGCAAGCGCAACGATCAGCTTTACAATTAAGAATCCTCTTTCTTGCACTTTCCCAGCTTTTCTTCAAAGAAAAGTCTGATGCACCTTCAGCTGCTTGCCATGTAGGAAGTCACAGATTGAAATCTAGTGGAATTTTTATTGTTCCTTCCTTATTCATTCAAAGTATCTAATTTTCTAATGGACTTTTTTTTTGTTTTGTTCTTGTTTTTAGTAAATAAACTGGGGCGCCATTTCATCATCATTTTTTGGTAACCTGAGGCCAAAGGATTTCACTTCCAGCTCCTACAGTACACCAGTGACTCAAACAGCCTCTAGTGTCTAAAAATGACAAATGCGAGTAGACTTATTTATGTATTTTAAAGGCCCAATGGAAAGTATATCCCTCAGAGAAAGGGGGGGAAAACTGCCAGATTTTGAAGCAGGATATTATGGACACTGGGCAAGTGTTAGAAGAAAATACCAATGACAGAAGCTGCAGCAGACTTTTTGTGGAAAAGCTGGAAAAATTGGATAAAGGGCCATCCCTGCCTGTGTGGAGAAACCAAAGGTCAGGAGGTTGTCCAGACCAAAGTAAAACCCAGCAGGCCAGCTGGAGAGCATCACTTGGACCAGCACAAGCTAGAAAATCTCCTTTCAAAACAGCAAGAAAGCCCAGACAGAGATTCTATTTTGGTGGAGCTGGGCTGAGGACAGTATCATCTATTCTTCACCCCAGAAATTGTTGGTATGCCCTACTCACAATGTGGCAACTTGGCC